TTTCAAAAGAGGCGAGGGGTTACACCATGATTAAATAAATATTTTTGCCAGAACTGTCAACATTTTGACACTGTCCCTAAATAGAAACATTTCAAGATACCAAAAATGATCTCCATATAACCGGGTGTATCATATTCAAACCCTTTCAACAATAGTCAATGTATAACAGTTTACCCAGTATACAGCTGGTGATTATTCTTATTAATGAATTAATTATGTTTTTTATTAAATGTTATTCATGTTGAATGAAATAATTCTAGTGCTGTTTTATATTATTCACTTTAATGTTCTGGTATTGTTAGACATTTTATCTGGTGATTGTGAGATGTGTCCTTGTGCCATCCTCATGCTGCCAATCTAGGGGCTCTGGTGACTTTATCTGTTGCAATGCATCCCCCACATGTTTGACTGAATCTAACAAGGAGTGTAATAAAACATCACCACTTGAGACATTGTTTGGGAAGTCATCATCTAGTAGTTTCTGCCACCATTGTGTATCATTGCTGTGTTTGACATGTTTCAACACCCACAGTAGTACAGTCAGTTCCCCACTGTTGCCATAACCATGCACAACACTCACCTTCCTATCAGGGTAATATGTATCTGGTAGGGAAATGTACTCATCATATAGTCTGTATAGATCTGAATCATCATTATCTCTTCTAAATTGATTGAATATGTATTCTACTACATCTTCAAAACATCTTCCTATATAAAAGTCAGATCCTGTGCAGTGTTTCTGATGGTGCATGATGAGCAGTTTGTATGAGTAGGATGAGATGAGACCACTGATTGGGTGCACATTGTTGATATGCCAGTAGATCCTGCTATACAGATGTGAAATGTATTTCAATACAAGAAATAGCTGTCTTTGATGTTCAGTAGGATTGTGTAACTGGTGATCAGGGGCTCCAGGATGTTGAGGCTCCACTATTGATTCAGTCCAGTGGATATGCTCAGGACACTTACCACAACCATAGGGATCAATAGGTACCAATACAGATCCCTCTGTTCCCTTTATACAGAAACAGAGATCTATGTCTGTGGTGCCTAATGGTCCCCCCACCCTAAGCCACACACTAGGGCCATGTAGATGTTCATGCATGGAGATTTCCCCTAGTGTGTAGCTAGGGTGCTGTTCATTCTTATGATCTCTCTTGCCAATGTATTGTGAACCATGAGTGTTCTTTAAGTAGGTGTGCATTGCATCACGGAGACTGTATTTGATATTTTCTGTCAACCAGTAAACATCATCAGCACCAAGAGGATCATGTGATGAATGAGGAATTTCTTCAAAGGGAGAGTGCTTGATAAGAAAATTATAAATTGATGTAGAATTAAGATCAAGTAGTAGTTGCTGCACTTGTCCAGGGTGAATATTAACAACTTTATATCCCTCTCCTGTCTTCCAACAGTCATCTCTTACATCACATACTTGAACTGAGGCATCATCAGACAGAGATAATGGATTTAGAAAGTCATACTCTGTTGGACTGATGATCTTTGTTTTTTCAAAATAACTGCCTCTGGGGATTGGCTCCTTGGTCTTGAATAGTTTATTGTATTCCCCAAAACCTGAACATATTGACCCGACAAAGTCCCTAATATATTCTGTATGATGTTCTAGCTGTGGCTCTGTGTATTTGTTGAAAATGTCCACTGTTGCAGCTGTGACATTAACAAATTCTTTCAGTCTTGCATAACCTGGATGAATCGGTTTGTATTTTCCAGAAGTATTGAATGTAGTTCTTGCCATTGCCATTTTGTCAAATCACGAAGAGCAGGTACTGTTAAAATGTGAGCCCTAGACAGATAAACTCCTTGTAAATTCAAAATACAAATTTTATCTTTAAATTTTTCTTTAAGTTTGACATTGATATTATGTATCATATGTGCTTAGTGATAAGGTAGCTTGTTCAATACTTAAAGACAGACATGACCTCATGCTATAGCACAGGATCAGTTGTTTTTTACAAAGATCTAAAAAAGACCTATGAAATGCATTTTCTTAAAGTTAAATAAAAATGTTCAGGAATTATTGAAATAAACTTATCAACTGGTATATGGCTTGCAAAGTATACTCTTAGTGCACAATTTAGTTCTTTTGTAACAATTTTACAGTTTAAGAGCCTTATCTCAACTGCCAGTTGATGTCAGAGACCAGGTCATAAATCAATCTAAATCAACAATACTGAGATTTTCTAAACCCATAAGCAAGCAGAAAGAATCATATCTAAATATATCAAAAGTTGATCAATACTTAAAGAGTGTATTGGGTAAACAATTGCTTCAGAGGGAATGGCAATATGTAGAAAATCAACCTTCTTTCGATGAAAAGCTGTAACATTCAAGATTTCATAGAGCTATTATAATTATCATGAGTTTTATATTATAGGTGGACTGACGTTTTGGGTTGACCCCTCCACAAAATATACAAGATGATAAAACTGATTTGTAACATATAAAAAGAAAATGTAATGATCCCAATCTATGTCTCATTAACCCATTCCTTTTAACTCAACTTTGGTTTGAGTTACACAGTAGTATAAAATCATAATAGAGGGTAAAAAAGGCAAAAAATTCTTTGGTACGCATATTTGACCTCCACATGGTTATAACACCAGGCTCGTAGCCAGGATCTACCAGGAGGGAGCGGTTTTACCAAATGGAAGTTTTTGCCAAGGGGGGGAGCTTTTTGACAGTTTTTGGCAAAAAAAGTGCTCAGAATGGTGAAAAACTGCATGATTTTGAAAAAATTACTGGCCAGGTGGGGGTCCCCTTTTCACAGTGAAACCAATTTCCTATGTAAATCCCTAATAGTTACAAGCCAAATTAATCCAAGCTAAATCAACAATGCGCCAAAAAATTACAAAAAGTGATTTTCACGGTTAGCTTTTGATTGAATTGTTGTGACACTTGATGAAATCAATTTTGTAAAGCAATTATAGAATTGCTCATATGTTAATTTGATATTTTTTATCCTAAAGGGTTCTCAATCATCTATACAAATATACATACTTTTCTCCACAATTGATACAGATATTATTAGATTGAATATTTTTATTATTAATGATTTTATTTCACTTCACTTATTTCAAATTAAACATAGTTTTCATGTGGCTTTAGATATCACAAAACAGAAAGTAAGTAAAATATTGTAAATAAAATAGATAAACAATATAAGTTTTTATTTTATTTTATTTGGGTCCAGGAGGTTGAGAGATGCTATATGAGTCAAAGTTTTAACTTTAAATTCTAGTTGGGTGTATATAACACGTTCCAACAAAGTCAGTTACTATGTCAATGAGGGTATTTTGAGAATCTCGACAGAGATATGACATCTATTTAAGATATTAAACTTTACTTAGTTCATTAGAAATAATTCAATAACATCCATGTTTATTGCACTCAATGAAATGGACCTGCAACATCACGAGCTGTAATCGAAAAAATTGTCCAGCTTGGGGAGCATGGTATTTTTTCTAAAAAAATACTCAGATAACTTCATAAAAGATTTTTTAACTCCTAAGTTTTGTCTTACCAAGGCAAAAAATTAAAGAGAGAATCAGATCTAGCGAGCAGCCTAACAAAAAATTGTTTCAATATTAGAATATTCCTGGCTTATGTCATTCATTTTCATGTCTATTTTCTAAAAATCACCAAAAGTGCTCACTTTATTTCAGGAAAACTAAAGATTTTTACGATAATCTTTCTATAAGAATGGTTACCATTCTTATTATTTGGGAGAATTTGAACATTTTTCACCCATTTTTGCACTTTGAATCCATTATAACTTCACCAAATTATAACATATCGTGAATCTTTTGGGAGATATTGTATTTGAGATTGTAATGAATAGATTGGTAGGTCAGTTGTACATGTTTCTTGTAATTTTGTCACCCCCATAGATCTGATTCTGTCTTTAACTACTATGCAATGAGTTTATCATTTGTGGATAACATTCACTTCTATTTGAAGCCCAATAATGCTTGGAGTAATTCAATGAAGTGCAGATTTGCTTTTGAGCTACAATCCATCCCCAAATCAGTGATTTTACCTCAATAATGGCCTAGAACCTGATTGCATTATTTACCCCATTACTAATAAAAATACATTTCTTCCATGGTATAGCTTATCTCCTACATTTTTGCCAAAATAATGAATAATCTATCTGATATGTATTTTATGCAATTTGGAGCGTTTAACATGCTTGGTTAGTTTACTTCTTAAAATTGTTACACTTTTTCAGTTAATTTTAGATTTCAAAATATTTTTACACAGGTTTGGTAAACACATGTGGTCAATGCATCAAATCAAATATTCAGATAACATACTTAGCTGACATCTATATATGAGAAGGAAAGATATTTATAACAGCTCCCCATCCCTGATCTTCAGTTCCAGCAAAACATATCAGTACCTTCCTTCCCCAGTTTGTATATCAGAGAAACAATGGGGAGACAGGAGCTTGATGCATGCCTCTTGAACATCAAAAGTCAGTTTTGCATTTGAGCAACAATAGACTGAATGAACAGATGTTTTATCATGTCTCTAACTTAGCCATCATCCTTCTTACTTAACTATGACCCATGTACATGTATTTATTACACTTCATCCTGGTTCCTTGAAATCAATTTCAGAAAACAATATTCTTGATGGCTATTCTACTAACTACTTGAGAAAATGATTTTGTTAAGTATGACCTGTAAACAAAGCACAAACAAAACAACACTATGGTCATAAAACATACAATTTCACTCAAAAATTTGATCAAATTTAGCACAAATATAGCACAAACAAAACAACACTATGTTAATATAATTTCATACAGTTTCACTCGAAAATTTGATCAAATTTTCTGTTATTTCTATACATTTTGAAGTATTGATTTCATGCCTCTGAAACTTGATCTTTCTTGATTTTACTCCTTTTCTCTCTATTTAGTATTTGAAAATCTGACCAATGTGTTGTTTTTTCTCAGATATAGATGGAGTACTTACCATCATGTACGCTCGGAGTACTGTGAGAACTATGGGTGCTATGGTTACTATGGTTACTATGGGTACTCCTGATGCTATCCCTATGGGTGACCCCTTTCACGAGAGCTAGGGAGTTTAGGGGATCAACGTGGGCGACTCTGAGGGGTGGTGGGTCCATATTTGGATGCATTGCATGTGATTGGAGCAGGGGCTCATTGTGAGAATGTGACATCATCCCATCACGCCCAACACGGATCGTTTCATCATCGGAATCAGAACCCAACGATGCTGAGTGGGAATCTGAAACAAATAAAATGTGAAAGAATCAAAATATGTGAAAGAAGTTGAAAATGTGAAAGTGTGACACACTCTGAAGATGGTGAACCTTAAGAGAAATGTTAAAACTTCTGTTTTTTTGATTAGTTAAATATACAAAACGTGAATCCATCTTATCTAGAATTCATTCCTTCTCATGAGGTACATGTTAAGGACTGTTGCACCAAGTGTTCCATAATCTGTAACGCGTGTCACTATAATGTATCACGCATGCATTATTCGTGTCACATTAACATTATTTTACATCTAAAACAACGTAATTGCATCAGAATACAGTTTAAACCTACAATTAAATTAGACATGAAATGAAAATTTACATCAAACAAATAAATACAGTCAAATGTAGTAAATAATCCTTTGAATTGAACTCAATAGTTTTGATGAACAATTATTGAACTGAACAAATCAAAGAAATACTAAGAATTACCGTATTTTAGGTGCATTTTGTCGACTCAAGTTTCTTCAAGTACATTTCAGTATTATAGAAAAAAGTGTGTATGGGTCAAGGTGACCTACCTATATACCCGACCAAAAGATAACATACAAACATAGACCTCGGATTGTTTTTCTCGAAATAATTTGAATAAAGACCTGGATTTTTTTGCGTATTAATACAATTGAGGGTTTTGGCTTGTTGCTCGTTAGATTTATTCCTCGCTAATTTCGCTTCTTTTTGGAAAAAAGGGAGAAAAATAAGACTGTTCTAAATTAGTATACATAAATCAACCATTGTTTGACTTACCTTCCTCCAAGGCAAACCCTAGTACATCAAAACATCACTGTTCAACCCTTGAATAAAATACTACTTTTCCCATGAATAAAATGCATCTTTAGCCAGCCTAATACACAACATTTCTTCCTAAAGTGTCAGATTTTCTGGCATTTCTGCACAATTTGGAGTGTTATCTACATGCCTGTTTACTTTATTCCTTGCTTTCTTCATTCATTCCATTCTGCTTTCCATTTCAAGAATGAGCAACGTGATATTTGATTCATGGATAAACATATCGTTTATTCCATTTAAAAATATAGAAAGAGACAGACTTCCTTCTATTTTTTCTATCAGTATTATAATCAGCTTCAACACTTATTATTTATCTATCATATTTGTTTATTCTTGATTAATTTTCACAATTTTATTCATGGACCTTGTTGTCTGACATATATGAGTACTCATTTACACGCTAGCTAGGTGAAGGAAATTTACGATGGTAAAATCAACCTTTTGAAGTTTTGTTTCATTAAGGCAATTCAGTAATACCTCTATATTTATAATTTTACAATGTCGCAAGCTTCAATTCGTGAAAATCGCAAGGTCTTTTTGATTCCAAGTGCATGATAGGAAATATATAAAAAAGATAACTAGCTAAAATGCAGCTATGAAAAAAGTTCATTTTAGGGTCCCTCACACAGTATCTTACTTAGATAATTCTTTTTAATTTGTATTATTGCAAGCAAAAATGATCAAAATATGCAAATTTTAACGTTCCATTTTCAAGTACAGCGAACCTCATAAAACTGAGCACTGCTCTTATCTGAACACAATCATCTCAATACTAACACTTTTTCTCAGTCCCAATTTTTTATATAGATAAACTCACATGTCAATAAACCTTGAAATGTGAACACCTGCTAATTCAAACACTTTTGGCCAGTTCTAGTGGTGTTCGGATTAGAAAGGTTTTACTGTAGATATATTAAAGCTAGTACAAGACTAGTGTCAAAATCTCAAATACCTGTAACACTCCTATCCCCTTGCTTCAGTGATGGGAGGTCACTGGTTCTCATTTCTAATATCATTACATCCTGCTTTGTCCCATATTGTCTCTTTGGAGAGATGTAACGAGAGACTTGATATTGTACACACCGGAAAACCCATTTGTGACAACATAAAAATTGGCTTACTTTCAAAAATTGACATATTTTGACCACGAAATTTTGAAAAAGAGAATTTTACAGTAAATTTTAATCCTTGACAAATCAGAGGATCAGGGGGGGGTTGTGACTGGAGATATGATGCAACACTTAAATCAAGGCAAGGGGTTGGCATACTGCCATGGTCTGAAACCAGATGAACCCCTGGCAGCTGATTTATTTATTTCTGTACCACAATACATGAGCATTGAGCAATAAATAGGGTGAACCTTCTATAAAATCCTACTATTGTATAACCATTATATAAACTACCATTGCTATATCTGACTTCTTTATTGAATCTCTCTTGAGTTTAGATTGTAATACTATAAACTCACCATCTCTCACAAATTCGTTTTATCTAAAACTTGAAAATGCGATAGAAATTCTTTTTATTGAAAAGCATTAAGAATGCCCTTTAGATATATAGGTGAAAGCAACAACAAACGTAATTTATGTAATCGTGTTTCAAGACAGATCATATTTCTTTTGTACAATGTATTTAAACTTCAGTGCTTTTTTGATGACCATTACCCTGGATTGAAATTAAAACAGTTTAATCCTAGCTAACTAATATTTTCCTTATAACAAAAAAAAATATCAAAATATACGAGGCAACAGATATGATAACTAAACAAGAAAACAAACTAAAATATACAAAAGTATAAATGTTTGTATTTTTACATATTCTGTTTCAATATGGTCCTTTGATTGCTTATTTTTTAGATTCAAAGTAGTTGCAAACATTCAAAATTTGACTGTACTTGTCTCTATCATTTCTAACTAAAATGATCCTATATACCTGTTATACCTGTTAGGATATTTGACAGGGTACTAATTGCACTTTGAAGTAATTCATAAAATCACATGTGCTTATTGACTATCAATATCATTACTTATATCACATATTTTATATACATGGAAAAAGAAAATGGGGGAAACAAAAAATAATATTGACTTTTTTCTGATCGGTTCAATTACATATAATCACACAGTACAAATAGTAAACAAACATCCAAAATGCCACCACCTGCCATTTGTTACAGACACCAAATGCTGAAAGCCGAACACAAACTGCTGAATGCCAAAAATTGGGGACCATAACAATATGTCACCACTTGTGGTGGTGACATAAAAAAAATCAAATAATATTATGTTTCAATCGCCTTTATTTTTAATCAATTTGGAAGATTTAAAAAAATCAGCAATATCAAACGATATTCATGTGACAAAAGGTAGCCTCACTATATAATATATATATATCACATGATAAATACTGCACGTGAATTATAAATGATCATTATTTCTAAAAATAACAATTGCAAATCTAATAATAGTTATTTATCTATACAAGTTTCAGGATGTATACATTAACATGTGTATAGTTATTATAAAGCAAACAAAATATTATTGTACAATTTTGATATCTCTGATTTTAAAACCTCAAAATGATAAAATAATTCCGTACTATTATAAGAGTGATTGCTAAATTCAAGGGGTGAGACCCCCCAACACACAAACACAAGAAAGGGATTTTTACAAAATAAAGACTGAGCTGTCAAACTCTCTATCCCGGGAGCAAACTTTCGAGTAAATTTCCCTATCCTTGGAGCAATTATAGCTGCCAAATAAATTCCTATTGATGAGAAGTCCCTACTCTTAGGATTCTTTTTATTGAAAAGCATTAAGAATGCCCTTTAGATATATAGGTGAAAGCAACAACAAACGTAATTTATGTAATCGTGTTTCAAGACAGATCATATTTCTTTTGTACAATGTATTTAAACTTCAGTGCTTTTTTGATGACCATTACCCTGGATTGAAATTAAAACAGTTTAATCCTAGCTAACTAATATTTTCCTTATAACAAAAAAAAATATCAAAATATACGAGGCAACAGATATGATAACTAAACAAGAAAACAAACTAAAATATACAAAAGTATAAATGTTTGTATTTTTACATATTCTGTTTCAATATGGTCCTTTGATTGCTTATTTTTTAGATTCAAAGTAGTTGCAAACATTCAAAATTTGACTGTACTTGTCTCTATCATTTCTAACTAAAATGATCCTATATACCTGTTATACCTGTTAGGATATTTGACAGGGTACTAATTGCACTTTGAAGTAATTCATAAAATCACATGTGCTTATTGACTATCAATATCATTACTTATATCACATATTTTATATACATGGAAAAAGAAAATGGGGGAAACAAAAAATAATATTGACTTTTTTCTGATCGGTTCAATTACATATAATCACACAGTACAAATAGTAAACAAACATCCAAAATGCCACCACCTGCCATTTGTTACAGACACCAAATGCTGAAAGCCGAACACAAACTGCTGAATGCCAAAAATTGGGGACCATAACAATATGTCACCACTTGTGGTGGTGACATAAAAAAAATCAAATAATATTATGTTTCAATCGCCTTTATTTTTAATCAATTTGGAAGATTTAAAAAAATCAGCAATATCAAACGATATTCATGTGACAAAAGGTAGCCTCACTATATAATATATATATATCACATGATAAATACTGCACGTGAATTATAAATGATCATTATTTCTAAAAATAACAATTGCAAATCTAATAATAGTTATTTATCTATACAAGTTTCAGGATGTATACATTAACATGTGTATAGTTATTATAAAGCAAACAAAATATTATTGTACAATTTTGATATCTCTGATTTTAAAACCTCAAAATGATAAAATAATTCCGTACTATTATAAGAGTGATTGCTAAATTCAAGGGGTGAGACCCCCCAACACACAAACACAAGAAAGGGATTTTTACAAAATAAAGACTGAGCTGTCAAACTCTCTATCCCGGGAGCAAACTTTCGAGTAAATTTCCCTATCCTTGGAGCAATTATAGCTGCCAAATAAATTCCTATTGATGAGAAGTCCCTACTCTTAGGATAAGTATTACATCATATTCCTGATGCGGGTCAAATTTCCAACTGAGATATAAACTGACAATTAAAAAATATATATAATGCATGGTACTTATTTTGACTTTTAGACT